CCTGGAAAAACCATTCCAGCCTGGGAAAACCATTCCAGCCTGGAAAAACCATTCCAGTCTGGGAAAACCATCCAGCCTGGGAAAACCATTCCAGCCTGGAAAAACCATTCCAGCCTGGGAAAGGCAGCCCTGGAAAAACCATTCCAGTCTGGGAAAAGCCAGCCTGGAAAAACCATTCCAGTGTGGGAAAACCATCCCAGCCTGGGAAAACCATTCCAGTGTGGGAAAACCATCCCAGCCTGGGAAAACCATTCCAGTCTGGGAAAACCATTCCAGCCTGGAAAAACCATTCCAGACTGGGAAAGCCAGCCCTGGAAAAACCATTCCAGTGTGGGAAAAGCCAGCCTGGAAAAACCATTCCAGTCTGGGAAAGGCAGCCTGGGAAAACCATTCCAGTGTGGGAAAACCATCCCAGTCTGGGAAAACCATTCCAGTGTGGGAAAACCATTCCAGTCTGGAAAAGCCATTCCAGCCTGGGAAAACCATCCCAGTCTGGGAAAGCCAGCCTGGAAAAACCATTCCAGTGTGGGAAAGGCACCCCTGGAAAAACCATTCCAGTCTGGAAAAACCATTCCAGCCTGGGAAAGGCAACCCTGGAAAAACCATTCCAGTGTGGGAAAACCATTCCAGTCTGGAAAAACCATTCCAGCCTGGGAAAAGCAGCCCTGGAAAAACCATTCCCGTCTGGGAAAAGCAGCCCTGGAAAAACCATTCCAGCCTGGGAAAACCATTCCAGTCTGGGAAAACCATCCCAGCCTGGGAAAGGCAGCCCTGGAAAAACCATTCCAGCCTGGGAAAAGCCAACTCTGGGAAAAGCCACTGCGGCAAAGCCACCCCTGGAAAAGCCAACCTGGAAAAGCCACCTGGGAAAAGCCAACCTGGAAAAAACACCCTGGAAAAGACCCCCTGGAAAAGTCAGCCTGGAAAAGACCCCCTGGAAAAGTCAGCCTGGAAAAGACCCCCTGGAAAAGTCAGCCTGGAAAAAGCCACTGCAGCGAAATCCACCCTGGCAATGCCAGCCTGGAAAAGCCACCCCTGGAAAAGTCAGCCTGGAAAAGCCACCCTGGCAAAACCACCCTGGAAAAGCCACCCTGGCAATTCCAGCCTGGAAAAGCCACCCCATAATATCCACCCTGGCAAAACNCCTGGAAAAGCCACCCTGGAAAAGCCACCCTGGAAAAGTCACCCTGGAAAAGCCACCCTGGAAAAGTCACCCTGGAAAAGCCACCCTGGAAAAGCTTCTCTGACAAATCCACCCTGGAAAAGCCACCCTTGCCAAGCTACCTTGGAAAGGCCATCCTGGAAAAGCTACCATGACAAATCCACCCTGGAAAAGCCACCCTGGAAAAGCCACCCTGGGAAAAATCACCCCGGAAAAGTCACTTCAGAAAAGCCACCCGGGAAAAGCCATCCTGGAAAAATCATCCTGGCAAAGACATCTTAGAAAAGCCACCTTGGAAAAGCCACCCTGGGAAAATCACCCTGGAAAAGTCACTCCAGAAAAGCCACTCTGGAAAAGCTACAGTGACAAATCCACCCTGGAAAAGCCACCTTGGAAAAGTCACTCCAGAAAAGCCACCTGGGAAAAGCCATCCTGGGAAAGCCATCCTGGAAAAATCACCCTGGAAAAGTCACTCCAGAAAAGTCACCCTGGAAAAGCCACCCTGGAAAAGTCACCCTGGAAAAGCCATCCTGGAAAAGCCACCCTGGAAAAGCCATCCTGGGAAAGCTATCCTGGAAAAATCACCCTGGAAAAGCCATCCTGGGAAAGCCACCCTGGAAAAGCTTCTCTGACAAATCCACTCTGGAAAAGCCACCCTGGCCAAGCTACCTTGGAAAAGCCATCCTGGAAAAGCTACCGTGGCAAAGCCACCTTGGAAAAGCCACCTTGGAAAAGCCACCCTGGGAAAAATCACCCCGGAAAAGTCACTCCAGAAAAGCCACCCTGGAAAAATCATCCTGGAAAAGCCACCCTGGCAAAGCTATCCTGGAAAAAATCATTCTGGAAAAGCCACCTGGAAAAGCTACAGTGACAAATCCACCCTGGGAAAGCCACCTTGGAAAAGCCACCCTGGAAAAGCCACCCTGGAAAAAATCATTCTGGAAAAGCCATCCTGGAAAAATCACCCTGGAAAAGCTACTGTGGCAAATCCACCCTGGAAAAGCCACCCTGGAAAAGCCACCTTGGAAAAGCCACCCTGGAAAAGCCACTGTGGCAAATCCACCCCAGAAAAGCAATTTGGGAAATGCCATCCTGGAAAAGTCATCCTGGCAAAGCTATTCTGGACAAGTCACCCTGGAAAAGTCACCCTGGAAAAGTTATCGTGGCAAATCCACCCTGGAAAAGCCACCCTGGGAAAGCCACCCTGGAAAAGCTATTCTGGCAAAGCCACCTTGGAAAAAAATCACCCTGGAAAAATCACCCTGGGAAAGCCATCCTGGGAAAGCCATCCTGGGAAAGCCACCTTGGAAAAATCATCCTGGACAAGTTACCCTGGACAAATTACCCTGGAAAAGCCATCCTGGAAAAGCCACCCTGGAAAAGTCACCCTGGAAAAATCATCCTGGAAAAGCCACCCTGGAAAAGTCACCCTGGGAAAGCCATCCTGGAAAAGCCACCCTGGAAAAATCATCCTGGACAAGTTACCCTGGAAAAGTCACCCTGGGAAAGCCACCTTGGAAAAGTCACCCTGGAAAAATCATCCTGGAAAAGCCACCCTGGAAAAGTCACCCTGGAAAAGCTACTGTGGCGAATCCACCCTGGAAAAGCCACCCTGGAAAAGCCACCCTGGAGAAACAATTCCGGAAAAATCACCCCGGTAAAGCCACCCTGGAAAAAAATCCCCCTGGAGAAGCTGCAGTGACAAATCCAGCCCGGCAATTCCGTCCTGGCACATCCACCCCCGGCAGATCCACCCCGGCAGAGTCATCCCGGGATCTCCACTGCGGCAAAGCCCGGCTGGAAAAGCCACCCCGGCAAATTCCGGCCCGGAAAAGCCGCCCCGGAAAGAGGCACTGCGGCAAATCCGCCCTTTCCAGGGAAAGGCAGCCCTGGGAAAACCAGTCCAGTCTGGGAAAACCATCCCAGCCTGGGAAAACCATCCCAGCCTGGGAAAACCATTCCAGCCTGGAAAAACCATCCCAGCCTGGAAAAACCATTCCAGTCTGGGAAAACCATTCCAGTCTGGGAAAACTATTCCAGCCTGGAAAAACCATTCCAGTCTGGGAAAACCATTCCAGTCTGGGAAAAGCAGCCCTGGAAAAACCATTCCAGCCTGGGAAAGCCAACCTGGGAAAACCATTCCAGTCTGGAAAAACCATTCCAGTCTGGGAAAGGCCAGCCTGGGAAAACCATTCCAGTGTGGGAAAAGCCAGCCTGGAAAAACTATTCCAGTCTGGGAAAAGCCAGCCTGGAAAAACCATTCCAGTCTGGGAAAACCATCCCAGCCTGGAAAAACCATTCCAGCCTGGGAAAGGCAGCCTGGAAAAACCATTCCAGCCTGGAAAAACCATTCCAGCCTGGGAAAACCATCCCAGCCTGGGAAAACCATTCCAGTGTGGAAAAAACATTCCAGTCTGGAAAAACCATTCCAGTCTGGGAAAGGCCAGCCTGGAAAAACCATTCCAGTGTGGGAAAAGCCAGCCTGGGAAAACCATTCCAGTGTGGGAAAGGCAGCCCTGGGAAAACCATTCCAGTCTGGGAAAGGCAGCCCTGGAAAAACCATTCCAGTCTGGGAAAAGCCAGCCTGGAAAAACCATTCCAGCCTGGGAAAACCATTCCAGTCTGGGAAAACCATTCCAGTCTGGGAAAAGCCAACTCTGGGAAAAGCCACTGCGGCAAAGCCACCCCTGGAAAAGCCACCTGGGAAAAGCCATCCTGGAAAAAACACCCTGGAAAAGACCCCCTGGAAAAGTCAGCCTGGAAAAAGCCACTGCAGCAAAATCCACCCTGGCAATTCCAGCCTGGAAAAGCCACCCCTGGAAAAGTCATCCTGGAAAATCCACCCTGGCAAAACCACCCTGGAAAAGCCACCCTGGCAATTCTGCCCTGGCAATGCCAAACTGAAAATACCACCCCATCAAATCCACCCTGGCAATTCTGCCCTGGAAATGCCAACCCGAAAAAAACCCACCCCAGCAAATCCCCCCTAGAAAACCCACCCTGGTAATTCTGCCCTGGCAAAACCACCCCAGCAAATCCACCCTGGCAGTGCCAACCTGAAAAAAACCCACCCCAGCAAATCCACCCTGGAAAAGCCACCCTGGCAATTCTGCCCTGGCAAATCCATCCTGGCAATTCTGCCCTGGCAAATCCACCCTGGCAATTCTGCCCTGGCAATGCCAACCTGAAAAAAAACCACCCCAGCAAACCCACTCTGGCGATTCTGCCCTGGCAAACCCACCCCAGCAAACCCACCCTGGCAGTGCCAACCCGAAAAAAACCCACCCCAGCAAACCCACCCTGGAAAAGCCACCCTGGAAATTCTACCCTGGCAAATCCACCCTGGTAATTCTGCCCTGGCAAACCCACCCCACCAAACCCACCCTGGAAAAGCCACCCTGGCAATTCTGCCCTGGCAAATCCATCCCGGCAATTCTGCCCTGGCAGTGCCAACCTGAAAATACCACCCCATCAAATCCACCCTGGCAATTCTGCCCTGGCAAACCCACCCCAGCAAACCCACCCTGGCAATTCTGCCCTGGCAAACCCACCCCGGCAAACCCACCCTGGCAGTGCCAACCCGAAAAAAACCCACCCCAGCAAATCCCCCCTAGAAAACCCACCCTGGCAATTCTGCCCTGGCAAATCCATCCTGGCAATTCTGCCCTGGCAGTGCCAACCTGAAAATACCACCCCATCAAATCCACCCTGGCGATTCCACCCTGGAAAAGCCACCCCAGCAAACCCACCCTGGCAAATCCACCCTGGAAAAGCCACCCTGGCAAACCCACCCTGGCAATGCCAACCTGAAGATACCACCCCATCAAATCCACCCTGGCAATTCTGCCCTGGCAAACCCACCCCAGCAAACCCAACCTGAAGATACCACCCCATCAAATCCACCCTGGCAATTCTGCCCTGGCAAACCCACCCCAGCAAACCCAACCTGA